CGGGGAAGTGAGCCGCGCTGGCCGCGCTGTGTACGGGAAGGGGGGTTTGCAGCCTGCGGGGGGGAAGGGGGGGCGGCTTTGCTGGGACATACCCTCACTCCCGAGCTCCCAGCCCCGCTGCAGCCCGCAGCCTCTCGGTGGCACAGGGACCTGGTTTTCTGTCGCAAGGGACTTGGCCACAGTGACAGGGATCGAAACCCCTGCGGGAAAGGCTGTGGGAAGCTGGATCCGTTCGTCCTTCCCATCCTTGCGGGCTCTTCCTTGGCAGAGGTTTGCCCAAGTAGCTCCTCGCTCAAAACCACTTCTCCCCGAGCATCCCTGTGAGCTGGAAGTACCTGTGTGGCCATAAAAATGTAGGCTCAGCTCCCCCCATCACCCAAGTGTCCACCCAAAAGTTTTATTTTTGCCCACTTAGTTCCTCTGAAATTTGTGTTAGGATCCTTCAGTGAAACTGTGTGGCAGGACACAAGGGTGGGGTGAAGGCTTTGTGGGTTTTTTGGCTGCAGCACAAATCCCGGGGTTGCAGGCAGCCCCTGCCAACTTCCAGGCAGCCCCAGGACCGCAACAGCATCATGCAGGGGAGCAGGCAGAGCTTGAGTGATCACCCCAACCCTGCCTGGCAGTTAGGGGTGATGCAGGGGAACCCCATCTGCCCAAGGTCTCCCAAATCCCCACATGGAGCAGAGCTTGGCCATGGAGTCCCTCTGCTGAGCCAGGTTTATGTAAGCACTGATTTGCAGTGCCTTAGAGATTCCTAAAAATAAGCTCACCTTTGGGAAATGTTCAAAAACATGTTATCTGCCCCAAAGTTATACCAGCAACCCAGTATTTGTCTTGATCCCAGAGCCTTGGAGGGCTTCTGCAATCTCTCATCCTCTCAGCTTGGCCTTAAGTCTCACTCGTGTACTTTCTGGGAGCAAGGATGAAGAAGAAGTGCCAAAAGATGCTGTCACTCTGTCCTTTATGGTGGTATCTAGTGTTGCTTTTTTGGCAAATCTGTGGGTGCTCCTTTATGGGACCATAAACTCGCCCCCTAGTTCCGGTAGCAGGAGACACCATGCCGTACTGCGGTCCTCATCTCCTGGCCAGCAGGATGCTGTGCCAGGCGGGTCACCAGCGTGTGACTGTCCTTGCTTTCCTGTAGTTAACATCAATACGGTGTCACCACGCCTTCCTCAGCAAAGGTGCTGAGCCTCAGCCCTCAATGGCTGCAGGTGGAGGCAGCATCTTCAGATCACGGGCAATGCTCTTTCCTTGTGTCACTAAAGGGAAGGCAGCATTAGATAATGCTGCTTCTTCCAAAAGGGATTAGGGAAGAGAGCCTCCAGACTCCCAAAGGGACAGGGGCCTCATCCTGCACTGCTTGATGACCCAACCTTGGCTTGGGATGGATGGGATGATGAGCTGTGTTTGCTGGCAGGCTTAAAATTGTCATGTTTCTGTCCTTCATTGCAGGTGGGAAGGCAGCGGTAGCTCACTATGGCCCTGGCAGACAATGCGGGCTGTGCCAAACCCAGTGAGGACATCCCCTTCCCCGAAATCATCGAACTCAATGTGGGCGGCCAGGTCTACATCACCCGCCACCCCACTCTGGTCAGCGTGCCTGGCTCGCTCCTCTGGGAGATGTTCACCCAGAAGAACATCCGCTCCCTGGCCCGCGACAGCAAGGGCCGGTTTTTCGTGGATCGGGACGGCTTCCTCTTCCGCTACATCCTGGATTACATGAGGGACCAGCAGCTTGTGCTGCCTGACCACTTCCCAGAGCGGAGCCGCTTGCAGCGAGAGGCTGAGTACTTCATGCTGCCTGAGCTGGTGAAGATGCTGGCCCCCAAGCTCAGCAAGCAGAACTCGCTGGGAGATGACCCCTGCCAAAGTGACCCCGAGGAGCTCTCCCCCAACGCTGATGCCACCCGCAACCTGGCCTCTGCCGCTGCCATGCTGCCCGGTGCCGTGGTTAGTGGTGGCCCTGGGGGTGCCATGACCGCTGGTACTGATGTCCGCAGGGCAGGGTTCATCACCATCGGATACCGCGGCTCCTACACCCTGGGCAGGGACAGCCAGACAGATGCCAAGTTCCGCCGGGTGGCACGGATCATGGTCTGCGGCAAGACCTCACTGGCCAAGGAGGTCTTTGGGGATACCTTGAATGAGAGCAGGGACCCGGACAGGCCCCCGGAGAGGTACACATCCAGGTACTACCTCAAATTCACCTTTCTGGAGCAAGCCTTTGACAAACTGGCCGATGCTGGCTTCCACATGGTGGCTTGCAACTCCACGGGCACCTGTGCCTTCGCCCACGACCAGACAGATGACAGGATCTGGACCTCTTACACCGAATATGTTTTCTATCGTGAGTGACACAAAACAAAACAAGACAAACCCCAAAAACCAAACACCAACTCTCCCTTTCCTCTCCTGTGCTGGCTGTTGCCTAGAAGGTAGACATCCGACCTGTGAATCCCAGCATCCCCCTTTTGCTTCCTTTTAGTTTGTTTATTGGGTTTTTTCCCCCCCTTCCTTTTTCCACATCGAACCTTTTCGGCTCTTCCTTGTAGCAATTGCTGACCACCAACCTTCTTCCCTCTCCGACTTCTGCAGTAGCCGCCTGTAGCTCCCAGCCCTCCCTGGATGTGTGGACTTTGGACACTGTCGTGTATGTGTTTTGGGGTGGGATGTGGGGTGTGGGGGGGGATGCTCCAGGCTGGGATACCCACGACTGGATGAGCTGGACCATGGACTTGTGCAGCTCCCTGCTGAGGGGTTTGAGTGAAAAAGCGTTGGTTTAAGGACACGGAGAAAGGAAACGGAGAAAAGGGGGAGCAGGTGGGGGGTTGGAAAGATGGAGCCTGGCAGCAGGAGTATATTGCCTTTAGCCCCTGTAAGCAGCTTAGCATTTAGACTGGCAGCGCTTGGGAAGGGTGGATAAAGACGCGCCTGCATTTGCAGATCCGAAGCATCGCCGCTGCTCAGGGTTTTTTTTAGGGGGTGGGATAGACAGATGCTCTGTTTGTGCATATGTGGGGGGGGGAGTGGGGAAGACTTTGTATGCTGTGGGGTGTAAAATGCTTATACAGCTCTTAAACGAGTTGGAGATCTGTCAGGAAAAAAATCACCTTCATCTTTCCTTCGTAGCAGGTTAGGGATGGGGTTGGGTCGCTCCAGTGAGCGGCAGCCACGGCTTCCCAAATTAAAGGGAATCTTTGCCCAGAAAGAAAATCTTTGCTGTTTTGGCACTCTCTTGCAAAGGTGTCTCCAATGGCAGGTCTCCCCAGCCTGTTTTTGGGCCTGGGGTGGCCACTGCTGCTTCCGCACGCCCGGGCAATGCATAATAAAGGAATAAAACCAACTCATGTCTCCATGTGCAGAGGCAGCAGCTCTGGGTGGGTCCTCTGTGCACCTGGAGATGCTCAAGGAGCACCTGGTACCATCCAAACAGAGACATCCCAGAGCAGTGGTGGAGTCACCATCCCTGGAGGTGTCCAAAAATGTGTGGTTATGGCACTTGGGGACATGGTTTAGTGGCCATGGGGGGATTGGGGTGACAGTTGAACTTGGTGATCTTGGAGGGCTTTTCCAACCTTAATAACTCTGATTTCTCCAGGGGGTTCATTGGGGAACAAAGTTTGTAGCTGGCTTCTCAAGAAGCTGAGGTCCTCTGGCATGCAGGGTGAGCAAAAACCATGCTGTGAGGCAGCCCAGAACGAGGAGAGGGTGAAAATGGTGTTTTTGTAAAGGCCTGTTCCTCTTTGCAACGGCGTTTTGAAGAGGAAATTACAACCAGTTTTAAAAAAAGAAAAGGAACTTGAGCTTGGTGTAGAGAGAGGCTGAAAGATAGAATTAAAGCCTTTTAAGCGAAGGGGAGGGGACACACACTCCATGTTTGCCTGTATTTTTTTTTTTTAACTAAAGGTTTTTTTTGGTCGTTATTAATTAGAAGTGGTTGCAAAAGAAATTCCTGCCTTGTGGGAAAGGCTGGTGTTCTGAAGTTTGCTTTTGCCCTCTGGAACTGGGCTGAAAAACTGATCTCTTTTTTTTCTGAGGGGGAGACCATAATGGCAAAGTCAACGTTTGGGCGGTTTTGATCTGCCGGGTTACGTGATCTGGACTGTTAAACCCAATACCCCGAGTGAAACACGATCGGAGCAGAAGAGTTCACTTCTGAATCATTTTGGAGTCTGGCAGTTTTCATGGAAACAAATACTTCGCAGAAAAAAATACTTTGAGATCTATCTCAACCAAATATACTACAAATTTGGAGCTGTTTCTTTTCTTTGCTTGTATCTAGGAGTAGAAAGAG